ACAAAACGTTTTCATCTTCCCTTGCTTAAAAGTAGACATGAAAGTGTGACAAAACACAACATGATTAGCCTCTTGGTAGAGTAAAAATTGCCATTGCTTAAATCACATAGGCTGGAAGGAACACCGTACAATAGTGTTCTTACCAAATAGGTGCATGGGAAACAAAGATTGAGCTGGTTGATGAAGTAATGATGGAAGATCCAAAAAAGTAGTGAAGTGAGAAAAACTAGCCATATTATAAAAGCCATGAGGTCTTCAGCAAGTTTAAGTACCATAAGAAATAATTTTTAATGTTATCATCACTCGAGCAAAGTATAATTTTCATAGCCTTCAATCTTGTTTAGTTACAGAACCATCAAATAGAAAATCAGACCCCTCTTGCCACACCCACCTGTCACCAATAGAAAGCCAAGGTTTTCATCTCTCAAATGATGTATTATATTACATTGTTTTCTGTACAGAAAAATGTTAATTTCTCTTTCAGTACAAACTTTGTTCCTACTGGAAACACATCGACTAGCTTGTAATGGCTCTTGTTGCATAGTTAGAAAGGCAACAAAAATTGTGATAGTCATCGGACATTGTCTGATTTTTTGTATGTTATTATTTTATGTTTTAAATAAATAAAAATTATTTAGTACTACTATACTACTACCATTAGTATAAAAAAAGTAGGGTTAAGTGTCATTGACAGTTGGCAGCAAAAAAAAAAGAAGGCACAGATAAGTACTTTATTTTTTGCTTTTTTATGTTTTCTTTATTATTGTAAAAGTAACTAAAATGTAAAAATAGGAAACTATAGTTTAATAAAGGTTAGATTAGGTTAAATAAATAATAATACTTTAATAAAAAAAATTTCATGAGACATGCATGCAAGCAACTTGGAGTAACTTGTGTGTAATATAATTCGATAGTGTAACATGAGCTGCATGTTCCCCAAGTAATTTACAACTTACATTGGCATAAATAATAGTTAGACACATTTCAGAGGACAATAAAACATAACAGTTTAAGTATAAATAGAAGTATAGTGTTACGAGTTTAAAACTACTTAAAATAAACAAATGTTTCAATTTGAAGACATTCTAGAAAGAACAAAAAGTTAATTCAGCTTTATTTTGATTTTTTTTTTGGTGGTTTATATAGTTAGGGTAGAGAAAGAAACATCGAATAAAGTTTTACTGGAGAAAAACGTTTGTAATGTATTTAGGAGGTTTCAGGGATTATGCAAATGAAATTTCATTTGAAGAAAAGTATTTTTAATCTTAACATGAAAGTCACTTTGCACTCAAACTACTAAAAAAATTACTATATTTTCACAAATAAATCTTTTGTAAAAACACTTCACTAAAAAAATAATTTTTTTAATATAAGAGACTTGTAATGTTCGTAATGAAAGTCTGCCAAATTTTGTGAAAATACACATACTATATTAAAAGTAAGTGGTATCAAAACTATAACAAGTACGAAATGGTCACATTGTTGGTCAGTTTGACCAAACTTGTGTTGAGAGAGTTGGTGAGTTAAACTTTTAATAGTTTTCTTTGCTATCCATATAATCTGTCTAAAATGTATAGACTTACCTACCTTATCTCAAGTTAACCAATTTATCTCACTGATGAAAAACATTTCTGTAGCTTTCAAACAGATAGAATTTAAGACTCAAATATTTTCACAATTCACAACAAAAGGAATGTTTACAGAAACTATAAAAAAAGAACAAAAAACTCTTAAACCTGTATATTTACTCTATTAATACATGATTGTCAAATTCTTGCTCTATCCAATCATTTAAACTTCCTTTACAGCTATTTTCAAAGTCGTGTTTTATTAGTAAATAATTAAACCATTTGATGTGACACCATAGCAAAGTTTCAACCAAGGCCTGTACAAAAAGTAAAAGAAATGCTTGAAGATTAAGAAATGGATAATATATTTTTAAGGGGTGATAGGTTCTCAACACAAACTAACAATTTGTCTAAATTTACAAAACCTTCATTAAGTCAGTCTGAGTGAAAGATGATTTTCATGCTAAAAATAAAAATACTTCCTTTCATCTTACAGTTTTCATATTTTATTTGCATAACCTCTAGAACCATTAAATGAATATCAAAAGTTTGTTTTTTTTGTAACTGTTTATATTTTATCGTATATTTTCTCTACCCTAACACTAACTGCAGTGATATCATCAAATAACAAATTGAAAAAATATGAAATAAAATCAATAATACCCCCTTTTTTTATAGAATTATTGCAGGTTGTAACAGACACTTACAACACCCTTTAGGCTTTATTTAAATATATGACAGGTAATTAACCACAGTGGGAGAAATTAGTGTAAAAAACTAGTCTCTTTCCATTTAAGTGACACAGTTAGCTGAAGCTGATCTTGTGAATTTTTTTCATTTACTTTTTGTTGTCTAACATAACCAGTTTCTAATTCTTACATTTTGGTTACTTCTTAAAACATAACTAAATAAAAACCTAGGTGAAAAACAAATTTTAGACTTGCATTAGCCATTTGTACTTGAGCATACTTTCCAAGTGTTAGTTTTTCATACTATGCTGGTTCTCCACAAAATGGTTAATATTCTTTTTATATATGCATCTTAGAACACAAAAAAGTATATTAGGCACTAGAGTAGAATGCCCCAAACTAGTTTAACTGGCTTTCTAACTAAGCTATAAATAAGTTAAAAAAGTTCTGTTAACTGCTTGTAGTGAAAAAATAACAAGATTGTAGATAATGAAACTGAGCCTTATTATCTACTTGTATGTAGCACAATGATTAAATTGTATAAGAAATCATTTGAAGAAAAAGCTACTCTTTTTGTTGGTTATAAATAATCCATTAACGATGTCGAAAAGAATTATTGACATTTTTTGAAAGACAGAATTAGATGGATGTGTTATGTGGGTTTTTTTTTTTTTACACCTTAGTAAAACAAGGCTCTAATTTTATGTTGTGGCTAGTCATTATCTATAGTATGTGTTCCTAATTAGTTGGACACTCAAAAAAATCATATAAGGGTTGAAAGAAATTTAAAATGGATGATCCAGAGTGCAGTTGCATCACATGACACAAATGAAGATTGAGAATTTCTTTCAATATTTTGGTTAGAGATTAAGAAATTATAACTTGGATGATTAAACAAAATTGAATTGTAAGTTATTTTTGATACCAAGTTTATTATAGACATACATTGATAATAAAGTTGTTTAATTAAATTTTGAATGTAATTCAAAAATGTCGTGACTTACATGTTAACCATCCCATATGCATAGGGTTAAGATGACAGATTTCAATTAAATTAAAATAATAATAAAAATTTATAATGGAAACATTTCAATTACTGGAGAATTGGTTTAATCATAAACATTAATTGTGATTTGTTGATTATTTTTGACATTGATTGAGTGAGTTAATTGCCATGGTAAAAATGTAGGGAAGGTTTATGGCAACCTTAATTGAGGGTATGGCTAAAAAACTGATTATTTTTCTTTGGAAGAATATTTCCTCCCATGTTAACATGACATTTATAACTATGGTAAATAAAGATGAAATTATTAAAAAGTTAGATTTAGCTACAATAATTAATGATGCTAAAAATATTATTTTATGTGTTTACGTGATTTCTAGACTGGTTGTTTTCATTTGGAAATCATCCTGTGAGAACACTTATCTCAAAATGAATGTTCATTTTATCAAGTAATTGTCCACTTCTCTTTGGTTTAATTATGTTTTACATATTTGTTTAAAATAGGTCTGAAATCTTACAAGAGTTGGAAAACTAGTGTGTTTCAGTTTTAGTCTTAATACCTTGTGGTTCTCCTAAATGTTAATAATTCAAAAGAAAAGAGTGGCTGGAAAGCACTTGTATGTCATAGTATCATTCATCTAATTGACTTTTGATGCTCTGAGATTTACTGTTTCCTTATAAATGTCATGTTACAAATAACACATTTTAATCTCTTCAGTCTCTCTTTTTATCTTAGGATATTATTAGATGTACTTCTGCATGGTTACCAAAAGTGTTCTGTTTCAAGAATAAATAAAACCAAGATTAAGAGTAATAAATATTTTTATTTCTTACCTTAGAAGTTTATATGTCATGCTGTGTTGTAGTCTACAGAGTGCATAGTTCTTCTCATACTTCATCGCGTGCACATTTTACTGACGTCACGACAGTTCAAATTGCAATGTTAAATGTTCTGCATGTGACGTCATTTTAGTGTACAGTGACTGACTGACAGACAATATACTACTGTGTAGTGATACGAGTTGTTAAAAGAGGTGACTCCTCCAGGTAGCCTTTGGCCCCCTTACGGGGAAATAAAATGAGTTGAAAGTCAGTGAGTTTGTCATTGCTGAAACTATAAGTTTTTGTGCCAGTGGGTAAGAAATGAACTGTTTAAATGACTTGGATTTAATTGATTTTATTACTACTGAGATCACATCCAAAGACTAAACTTCAAAAATTATTTGTTATTACTCTTCTCAACAGTAAACTCACTAATGCAGCTACCCTGCTAATACCATATGGTATTTAATGAGTATTTTGTAAACTGCTATATCTCAAATTTCTTCTACACAAACTCTAGCACAAGGCTTTTGAAAAACTGGAGTTACTTCTCATGATGAAATGGAAGAATTAGTTCAGCAAAGAAAAAATAAATCTATTTAGACAAATTTCATCATCAAAAATACACTAGTAAATTAAGTAGTCAAACAATCTTGTTTCCTTTATTAGTTCAAGATTATTTTATTATTGTTGTATTTTATGTGGTGTGATTGAGTAAGAGGGCTAGCTGTTTTTTACATTATTGTGGCAACAGAAAACCAGAGTGATAATCAAGTATAGAAACCAAGAAGGTTCTTCTAAGTTAATCTGTCACCTGTAACTATCGTTTGCCTTGATATATGTTGACATATAAAATACTTATTGGTTTTAGATTAATGAAAAGCCAAAGAATTTTTACATTTTCTTTTTTTTACACAGGTATTCGACTTCATTTTCACAACCTGATAAAAGGTTTGACCCAGCAATCTGCATCCACTGCTCAGCTAGGCTTAGGACATAGTTACTCTCGAGCTAAGGTTAAGTTTAATGTCAATAGATCAGACAATATGATTATCCAGTCTATCAGTTTATTAGACCAACTAGACAAAGATATCAACACATTTGCTATGAGAGTCAGGTAAGATATGTCATTTTCTTAAAAAGACTGTTAAGTTAAAAAAAGTTACTGTGGTTTGTAGATGAGATTAAAATATTGATGTATGTTCTAAGTACTCTTTATTATGAAAGAAATCATTTGACTTACTGGTACAAAATCTCTTACCAGTTACTAAACAAGATTAATCTGATAATTGTTGCAGTGTGTATATATATTATAGTTACTTTGATATTTGAATGATTATGGAAAATGTAGGAGTTTCAAATGATGTTTAATAGTTTTAAATAATTTTCTGTTAAAGCAGTGGTATATGAAACATTTTCAAAATGAATTTGTTGGTTTTCAAACACTTTTAGTTTCTGATTTTGCATTGTTTAGCCCAAGTTTTTCACTAACTGTGTGCTTCTGCCATCTACCACTTTTTTAAATCGCTAAATCTGTCTGGTAAAGCCAATACACACACACACACACACACACACACACACACACACACACACACACAC